TGACCTGCTCCTTCGCCCATTGAACTGCCTCCTTCTGCCCCTTGCCATAATACCCATACTCCCTATTCAACACGAACATCTCATACAACTGCTCCCGGAACCCCTCCGGGAAGAAACCCTTGACTACCTCATCTGGAAGCTGAGCATGCTTGACCGGCTTCCCCGTCACCTTGCTCATGATCTCGGCGACCTCGTCCGGCGTATACAACGCCTCTGCTGCAGCAAAGAATTTGCCTGCGTACTTGTCTGGTTCAGCAAGGATAGCCCCAACCCATTTCCCCGTTTCGGTGATGTCGATGTACGGTACAGGGGTGTCGCCCGGCAAGATATCCCCCAACACGAACGTCCCATCGTTCGCAGGAGAAGGGCGGGGCTTCATCATGCCCTCGAAATTTTGCATAAACGATGCCGGAGCAAAGAACGCGCTTTGCACAGGCAAACCGCGGATATACTCTTCGATCTCAGCTTTGTCGTCAAAATGCTCTACATTCTTCAACTTCCCATTGCTGATCTTGAACGGGTGCGACATGGAGCTGAAAATGATGTATTTGGCACCCTGCTTGATGGCTTCGCTGCATACGGCACGTGCTTGGCGTGTTTCGACTTCGCGCGTGTTGCCGGTGTATTGAGTTGTTGTTATCAGGAAGACGTGTGTGCAGCCTGCCAGGGCGGAGGGGAGCGTCGTGGGGTCGTCCATATCGGCTGCGGATAGCTCTGCACCGAGAGACCGTAGCTCTTGCATCTTAGGGGATGTGGTAGAGCGCGAGAGGGCGCGGACGTTGTACAAGGCTGATAGGGAGGGGTCGGTGAGGACGGTGCGGGCGACAGAGTTGCCTTGGTTGCCTGTGGCACCGAAGATGGCGATTTTGGACTTGGACATCTTGGAGGTCTGGTGGTTGGTGAGACTGTGAAATGATGTCTTGACAGTGATAGTATGTCGGTGAATACAAAAGTTGACGATCACATACCTTATATACCTCTTTGCTACTCTGATCTATCAGTCATCTTAGTCGGGCCGCGTCTTGAACCAAGCCACGCATATGCGGCCATCATGGAGATTCCGGGTGTAGTCATCGGACTTTACGCTTTAAAACCATCTGAAGTTTTTCGACATTGCGAATCTTCAATACGGCAAAGGCCCGTTTTGTAGTACGACTGAGCCGGTGTATCGAGCCAATAGTACCGCATGTTCACAATGTCCTGGATGTAAGGCATCCGACGCGAGTGTTGTTGACGCTGGTGTCGTGAAGACGGATATCGGAGTTGCTGAGTTCTCCGACCCGGCTCCGAGCTAGCGCATTTCGCGCTCTTAACTCTGGGCACTAAACACCTTGCCCAGACCTCCCAGCTCCATCTTTCCACATCGCGCATTTCGTCCTGAGCACCAGCGGACAAACTTCGTGCCTATGACGCCAAGTTATCCTTCACTCTAGTCCGCCCGCAGGTTCCGACGATGACCTGGCCGTGAAAAGGTCCAACCGCCCGTCCTTCATTACGTCATGCGTCTTTGTTCAAAGCTGGCTATATTAAGTGAAGGACACACTTTCCTCCATTACCTAGGTATGGTACGAGTTGTAACAGTGAAGATGAACTCAGCCACGAAGATGATGCAACGGATCGACTCAATGGGTCCGGGCAAATCCTCCTGGGCCAACGACTGCTCACTAAGGCAACAGCAATAGATATGCATATCCCCAATTACTCAACATTCCCATTGACGCGTCGGCAAAAAGCAAAAGTCCATTCAGATTCTCCAGTCGTGTCGAAGTCTGGCTCTCGTCTGACACATGCCGGTCTGACCAACACGACTGGATTCGTACCTTGCGCATAAGACAGGGCAACCTCTTCAACTTCACGGGAAGGATGTCGGCGATCAAATCCTTCAGATCAGATTTTATCAAGATATGATGGTCCCTGCTAAACGTTCTCATGCAGTCCGTCTTGATTTGTAAAAGGGGGTTGAGAAGGGATTACTCAGACAAGTATGGTCTCTAACGCCTCGAGTCCTTCCTAGGCTGGACATTACGACTTAACCTACGCGAGCACCCCGTAACCTTGCAGACCACCAACAATCCAATAAAACCTCGTCGCCCCATTCTTCGGTTGCCGTCGAATGGGGTTCTACCCGCTGGTTCCCTTCGGGATTGGCGACCGCTGCAGGTACGAGACAGGAAGGTAATCCCTTTGCATCGGCATCGTGGTTCATCACACTTCACTAATGCCAACTGGACTATCCCTTCGGCTCTAAACATCATTCATAAACAATGGCTATTCACCAAGATGAGAATGGTCGGCGTGGTTCTGTTGGCCGCTTGCGCGATTGTCACGACTCGATTGCGACACCGGTCCGAAACCCACAATTCTACATTCACCTTGTTCCTGCTCCCGTCTATTTGAGTTCAGCGCATACTTCAAAGTCTCGCCTTTCTTCCAGGCTCAATCCAACTCCTCAACTAATCCTAGATCACCGCGACCGACTCCATTGAAGTTCCTGGTTGCGAGACTCGCCTCAAGCAATCACATCATGAGTCGCCAGATTGTCGTTGCATCATGCTCGCTTGCTCAGTGGGCTCTCGATTGGGAGGGCAATTCTACCCGTATCAAGCAGAGCATCCGCGAAGCGAAAGCCAAGGGTGCTACATTGCGCGCTGGACCAGAACTGGAAGTAAGTCATCGTTTTATTTATTTCATCTTGAAGGCGCTTTTCCACGCCTGAAACACTTCTATGGTCATCCATACCTCGAAATTCTGCTATCCATCGGAAATTGGTGTTTCACAAGGCTACCTACATAATGGGCGTTGAGCACATTTGCTCTACCATCATTCCCGCTAACGAAACTAGATTTGTGGGTACGGCTGTCATGACCACTTCTACGAGGAAGAACTATACGCCAATTGCTGGGAAGCACTCATTAGCATCCTCACGGATGAGTGTTGTGACAACATGCTTGTAGACATCGGTATGCCAATCAAGCATCATAATCTCCGATACATCTGGTAAGTACACTAATTCACTGCTTCGATAATGTACTTACAGCCCATCAGTAGAGTTATGGCATACAACGGTAGAATTGTCTCAATACGTCCGAAAACCACTTTGAGGATTGACGGCAACTATAATGAGTCAAGGTGGTTTACCGCTTGGGATCCCACTATTCCACCCGAAGCATTTCCCTTACCAGACTTCATTGCGGACATGCAGGGCACCAGCATGGTTCCTTTCGGCAGTGCTCTGCTCTCCACCTCAGGCGCGTGTGTTGGCGCCATTACATCCGACGAGTTGATTGGGCTCGAAGATTTGCTTCCGACAGCCTTGAGCTCGACAAGCGCTGATATCCTGACGGTCTCTGCAGCCAATCACTTCAGTGTCGGGAACTTCGACTCCTTGGTATCTTCACTGCAGAATGTCAGCAAAGACATTGGTGGAGTCATCCTCTACTCGAATCAGCATGGCTGCGATGGTGATCAAAGCTACTACGACGGTGGCCCGATGATCTTGGTGAACGGAGAAATAGTTTCTCAGGGCCCAAGGTTCTCGGTCCACGATGTCGAGGTGGTGACCGCTGTCGTCGATCTGGATGAGGTTGAATCGTATCGAGCGAAACAAGCAGTCTCGGAGCCCATGGATGACCTCACTACGCCCCGTGTAGATGTGGCATGCAGTTTGTATCGCCCTGAGCTTGCCAGCCTCCGCCCGGATCATCATCATCCTATTGTCCGGGGCCCAAGCTTTCACACATTGGAAGAAGAGATCGCCATGGGGCCAGCCTGTTATCTTTGGCATTACCTCCGCCGCAGCGAATGCGTCGGCTTTCTAGCGCCACTCAGCGGCGGCATCGACTCGTGCTCGACATCAGTAATGGTGTTGAGTATGTGCTATCTGGTATTCGACGCGCTTCAAGATGGGAATGAGGTCGCGTCAGACATCCAGCGTATCACGGGAGCCGATGACTGGCTGCCCAAGACCCCTCAAGAGCTCTGCAACCGCATCCTGCACACAGTATACATGGGCATGTCAGAATGCTCATCCGAAGAGACACGTTCACGAGCTCAGCGTCTCGCAGACGGCATGGGCGCCCACCACATCAGCATGTCCATCGATACCGTATACCGAGCCGAGCGAGATCTACTTCCTCAGTACACAGGCTTTACCCCCGATTTCCGAGGCTCTTCAGCAGAGAACCTAGCGCTTCAAAACCTGCAAGCACGTATCCGCTCAACCACAGCCTACTATCTCGCCCGTACACTACCCGTCATCCGCAACTGCCCTAGCGGAGGCGGCCTCCTCGTTCTGAGCTCCGTCAACGTGGAAGAGTCCCTCAGGGGCAACTTGACCAAGCACGATTGCAGCTCCGCAGACCTCAGCCCCATCGGCAGCATCTCCAAGATCCAACTTCGATCCTTCATCCGCTGGGCGCGTACCGCTTTCACCCTACCCATCTTAGACGAATTCCTCGACGCAATTCCCCGCGCTGAGCTCGAGCCCGCTAGCTTCGGTTCATGCGACGACAAGGAAAACGGCATGACCCATCAAGAGCTTTTCGTCTTTGCCAAGCTGCGCAGTGAAGAGCGACTGGGGCCTTTCGACATGTTCCAGCGTCTGCTGTGTGACTGGCAGGATAGGAAGAGTGCAAGGGAAGTGGGTGACTTGGTGAAACGGTTCTGGACTTTCTATGGTAACAATAGGCATAAGATGGCGGCTGTGACGCCGGCAGTCCACGCAGCGGGTTATAGTCCTGATAACAGGTTTGATCAAAGACCCATGTTGTATCCGCGGTTTGAGCATAGTTGGGCGTTCAAGCGGATCGATGGGGTGGTAGATGAGCTGGAGCGTAGAGTCAAGATGGAAGAAGATGAGGAGATACGTTTTGGGGAAGTGTGTTTTGAAGAGGAACCGCGCGTAAAGGCAAGGCTGTAGACATGGGCTCTAGACGATGAGGGTTGATTAGATGGAGGGTGTTACACTGTACTTAATCATCTTTATACACGGATTTGTTGTCCTACTCGACCCACCTCCCCCTCTCAACATCCAATTGCACACCCTCCTCCTTCAGTGCTCCCTCAAGCGCACCATGCCCCTTCCACCCATGTCCAATTCTCCCCGTACTACTCAATCTCCCCAGATCCTTTCCGCTTTTCCTCCTGAAATAGGCTTTCTGGTCTTCCGTCGGCCCTTTCTTCTTCCACTGCCCTGTCTTTTTGTTGAACTGATATCCGTTGTACCAATCCTCCGTCAGGGCATCTGTACCATATTCCTCCAGCAGCAGCTCCTCATACGCATATGGGACTTTTACGTTTACGCCCTCGAGGGTGGATTGGCGGAGGGGAAAGATCTGGGTGTTGAGGTAGGCGTGGGTGTCTTTGACGTAGAGTAATGTTTCTTCGTCGAAGGCGTCAGGATCGGATTCGTGGGCTGAGGGGTGGGTGCTGGAGTAGGGAGAGTTGGCGATGGAATTCTGTTCCGAAGCGGGTGCGACGTGGAGTGTTGTGATGTCGATGTACAGCCCGTTGTTTACATCGATCCAGCGTATGTCGATGTGGTTGTATATGTCTGACGTGGATTTGTTGGTGTAGTTTGGGTTTACCTCTAGGAGGTATTTCTTGCCCTCTTTCCTAATGTCTTCTTCCCAGGCGAGGCGCTTCGAGCGCGTCTCCGCGTCTTCATTCTGGTGCTCCAAACTGTGCAGGATTCCTGTCTGCTTGACCTGACCCTCCTCGTTGTCTGGTGCAAGTTCAAGCCCCAGTTCTCGAGCGTTGAACTGATGAATTGTCATGTTCCACCATGTACCCAATTCTCGTGCGCCGTCCTCTTCTACGAGGAAATCCAAGTCTTTATCCCACGGCATCAAGCTTCTGCCCCACCACCATCCCAGCAGACATCCATGCATTATCCAAGTTTGTACTCCAATCCTCTCCATCGTGTCCGTGTACGCCTTCAACATAAGCCTGAGATGCCATATACGTTCTTGGAAGGGCACCTCGGAGGATGCGAAACGTCCATCGTAGTGGCTGTTAAATGTGGATTCGTAAAAGTATTTGGTCGGCGCGTGCGCGTAGGTATGCCCGTTGGAAAAGGAGTTGACCAGGGGCGTGAGGCCGCGGAATGAGCGGAAAGGTGTGCTGCGGCGTTCGAGAGGGAGCGAGGTGCCGAGATGTAGGAAGTGCGTGAGCAGAACCCAAAGTTCTACAGGGAGTCTCATCGTGACTGGGGCCTTGTCGGTATGAAGCGCATTGTTCTACCGTTTCGTTATCGCGGTTCGGGGTATTGTCGATCCAATGTCGATGACGCTATAGTGGGAAAAGATGCATGTAGCCAAAGTGAAGCATAACAGCGCAATCGCAGAAGGGCCAAACGAGGTTTAACGACGAGACGATGGAGAGAGAGTCGCGACAACCCGTGATCGTGTTTCTACATGGCGAGCGCAGGAGCCGAATTCGATGATGGGCCGACGCGCAGAGCCAAGGACGATCAAGCACGCGCCAAGACCTCTCACTCGCCCACGCTGCCGGCCTCATTGTTCTAGCCCGCATGGATTTTCTGAGCCTAATCGGCTAGCGTGTCATTCACAACTACTGTGAATGTGGAGCTCGTTCAAGCCGATTGCGCGTTCGCAGTCTCGTTGTTACTGAAGGCGGCTACTCAAGCTGCATCCTGTGTCGTATGGTGTCGTTGCTATCTGAGGCTAAGGGAGTGCAAGTGCGGGCCAGCCACGTGAAAACGAAGTCTGGCAGGCTAGAGTACGCGTCCTCTAGGCCGGCACCGCACGTGCGATGCCGCATCGTAACCACACCTCTCGCTAGATATGGCGTACGAGACATTGATTGAAACACATCTTTTCGGCGCTGGCAGTAGCATAAGCACAGGATCCTCGTACAAAAACTTGATTGTGTTATCAAGCGCTATTAGCCAAGTCGATCATCCCCGTACCACACAATGATGTGCAGGCACGATCCGACGCGCTATTAGCTGGCGAAAGTGCGCTTCGGTCCGCCAAGAGACTCGGGTCCAGATGAGAAAGACTCAATTATTCTGTTATGGTAACGCTAATGTACGATCTTGAGAGCTGCATAAGGGTATGAAGCTTAAAGTCAACTACGTCGTCATCACGGTCGATCAATATGTTCAGGTATCAAGGTATATGCGGGGTAAATGGTGAGTAGCTACCCACAAGTGCAGTTCACGAGATGAGGACCATACTATGTGATTATCTGTATTGCATTTCATAGTTCTACAACCACAACAAGTGACCAGCTTTAGGTTGGTTTACACCATAGGAATAAGTACCCGAGCACAAGTTTCCCGTCATCTACACATATCCACATGCGGCACCTCCAAACGTCCCGGTGAAGCTGGGCAAGGAAGAGACAATCTCGACCTCAGACCAGCCTGCCAACAATTTGATAGGGTTCCATCGCTCAGATCCAAACGAGCCCACTGAAAGAACGGACGCCGTTGAGTACGGCTAATTACACTTTCCACCGCTTTTGTTCGTGTGAAGTAAGTATACATTGAGAAAAATAAGACAATCCGGTGCTCGTGTACGCAATGCCGGAGAGACGAAATGGAAAGACAAGCTAAGAACTGTATGTTCATTCATAAGTAAAAACGCCGTGATACGCCGCCCGATGTTGAAACGCCACAATGGGAGAGTGAGCGCTGAATATGCGAAAGTCAGAAAATGAGGGAAGGAGAATCTATCAACATGCACGTCTGCGGCGCCGGCAAACAGAGCGACAAACAAAGAAACCCAGAAAGCCAGCAATTAAAGGGGTATATTTGCGAAGCGTGGAAAGTCACTCAGATCCTTTTTCGTATTTGACGGGGTGGAAGAGCGTGTTGCGCATGCATAACCGGCCGGTGCCGTTTTCCTCTTCTTGTGGGCCACCCTTGTCGTTCTCGCGGGAGCCGAGCCACCTTCGCCACCACTCGGATGAGAAGCCAGCATTGTAGTAAAAGCTGTTGCCGAGCTGGTTGTGCTCACCCCAGCCGAAAACGCTGTCGGTCGGCTTAGGGGGCTTGTTGAAGGTGCCATCGAGGGCTTCGAGTGGCCAGTTGTGATCAAAGTACACGGGGTGTGCAGCATAGACGGCCTTGAGACCGTGGTGGAAAGCGACTGTTGGAGGCCACATTTCAGGGAACATGTGGTGCTTCATGAGGTATGTCTCGCGATGCATAAGATCCAATAGGCGTTTCGACAGACGCGAAACAGTAATGATAGCGCATCTCCGCGGGGGTTCCGGGAGCTCGAGATCGTAACCTGTGACGTCGTCGCGGAAAACCCAGTTGGTCTTGGCCGGATCAAAGATTGGGTTGAATGTGATGATGTCGGCATCCTCGCCAACACCCCACTCATAGTTGTCTTGCGAGTACGAGTGTGGGGGCTCGGTCTCAGGAGGGCTGGGAAGCATGCCGGTGTTTTCGAATTTGGGTGGGCCCCAGACAGGCTTCTCGTCGCTGTTGTAGAGCTCCTCCTCAACCATCTCGGTGAAGTTCTTCCAGGATCCGTGAAGCTCAGGAATGTAGTAGCGAGATGATCGCTCCCATAAACCTTTGCGAGGCTGCTTCTTGGCCCACTCGCCAATCTTGTTGTGGAACTCGTAGTAGTGGCCGCTGAGACGGAGATCCATCTCCCAGTTCCAGTAGAAGTCGTACTCTGGGCGAGCTTGCGCGAACCATTGCATTGCGAAGTGGGCGCTGCGGTAGACAGAGTGGACGGGGGCCTTGGCATGGTTGTAGACGTTGTTGGGGAACGGTTCTGGGTAGTACATGCGCATCTGCTGCTCGGACCAGAGGGTCGCCATGCCCCAGAACTCTTTGGGTAGGTTGTCTTCGATGACCTTTTGGTAGATCTCTTCCGAGGACCAGATAGGGAGGCTATCGTCCTTGACGTGGAGGAGGAAGTGCACATCGTACTCGCCTCCGGACTTCAGCGCGAGCTCGTTGATCATGGCGCGCAGAGTGAGGATCTGGTAGTCACTGTACTTGTAGCCGGTCCAGGTACGGAGAACGTAGGCGTGGCGTGGCACCTTCTTCTTGGCGGGTGCTGTCTCTTCGGCGGTGGTGTTCTTCTTGAAGCGGTGGGCGTTCTTCTCGCGGCATCGCTTCATGGCGGACGCCCAGTTCACCTTGCGGTAGTCGACCTTCTTCTCGTAGCTCCAGAGCTTGTCGGCACCGCCCTTCTCAGACTTGCCGTCCATGTCAAGGCCGCCCTCGTCGCGAGAGTACGAGTAGCCGTAGGGGCCGAGACGACCGAAGCGCTCGAAACACTTCTTGTCGTCGAAGCCAATCTCCTCGTATGAACCGAAGAAGGGCGCAGTCATGTTTTGAGGGATGCCGGGGTAAGCGTAGATGTCGGGGAGGTCAATCTTCTCTTCCTCGTCGAGGTAGCAGGTCTTGACTTCATCGTGCTCCTTGAGGTACTCGGGCGAGTCAAACTTGTATGGGTCGAATGGCTGTAGCTCCAGTGGCGGCTCCTTGTCCTCCTTGGACATGTGCGGCCACTTGGGCTTGATGTTGTCTTCCGGGTTGGGGCTTTGCGAGTACTTGACAAAGTCCTGCTCTGACACCCAGTCGCCGTAGGGAACAAGCGTACGAACGCCGTTGAAGAAGCCATTTAACCTGACCAGTTAGCGTGCGAAGGGTTGAGTTGTGACTGGATGCTTACCGAGGGTAGTGTTCCCAGTGGTACTGTTTCCGCTCATCGCCTGTCCGTTGCTGTGCGTTCCACCTGTGTCTCCTGTAGATACCCGTGCCGAGCATCGAGGCCAGCAGCACTATCGTCACGGCGAGAGTGATGAGACGCGCGAACGAGAGTCGTGGGCGCTGCAGGCGGTTGGCCCAGGCGGGCTGGCGGTACTTGTTGCCCCATGACTTGCTGCTGAAGAGCGGCAGCGGTGACGAGGCCTGGCTGTCCTGGCCGGGCACCTTTTCGTAGTTGAAGCGCGTTCGGATGAACAGCTTGCCGGGATTGAATCGCGAGGCCATTGTCGAGATTGTGTGTGCGGATGTGCTGTGCAGCGTGTGGGTTGCCTATCGCATCTGCGGCGAGGCTGCGCAAAGGAGGTTGCTCGGCAAGTCGGGATGCAGGTGCGTGGTGTCAACTCGGCCGCGCGAGTGAGGTCGAGAGCAGAGCAGGCACGACACTTGGGACGACAGCGGAGAGTGAAACGAGTGACTGTCCTGGAGACGGAGGCAGGATTCTGGCGATGGCTTGGGCGTTGGGGAGAGAGCGCGGGCTGAGCAGGAGCGACCGACCCTTTTTCCCTCGTTGCTCGCCCCAGACAGCCTAGCGCTGCCTCGCACCTGCCGTCTACTGTAGCGCTAACTTACAAGGGTCAACCACCGACTTCTGGAGCACCACGGCGGGACTGTATAGGCTAGCCCACGCACCGGTGCCACTCCAAGACGTGCAGAACTCTCCAGAGACTGCCCATCACAGCCGATCCGCCCCCTCCGCGTCTTCGCAGCGCTCCCAGCAGCGACGGCGTGAAGCCTCTGCGTTATCGTCGAGCGCAGCCCGCCACCAAATCAAATGGCGCCCAGCTATCAATTCACTCTATCGGGCCCTGCATGAGCCATGGCAAAGCGCACTATGCAACGGCCTGCCCTCCCGCCTCAACAACGTCGAGCGGAGCTTCTATTTTTTCTTGACGTCTTGCAACTCTTGACGTACTTGGCTGGGTCCTGCGATGGGTCCTCAATAATGCGACTCTGCACTTCCCCTGCCGCGACACACGCAGCTGAGCGAATGATGCGATCGCGACATGCTCAAATCCGCCGTTGCCTGACCCCTGGGCGTTCGCAGCGACAAGGTGGCGTTGTCTGTGATTGGCTTGGCCAGCGCCCCTAGGCTTGCATCCGACACCAG